AAGTTTAAAACCTAAGTTATCAATCTTCTTTGCCTTTTCTCCATCCCATTTAGTTTCTTAAATACATAAGCTATTAATCTTTCTATGAATCATAATATCAACTAATTTTATTAATTTACCATTGAAAGTACTTATATTCCAAGATCTTATCCTAATATTAATTTTAGTAGTTTTATGGACTAATTTTTTTACCTGCATCCATCCGTAATGTGTGAACCCTTACTTATTTGACACTACATCTGGGCGTCGGTGTAGCGGCCTGTACACACTTTTCACTGTATTCAGGCTATACAACATGTCGCTTCCAGAGGACGCCCTAGCACTTACACAAAGATCAAAATGATTCATGTCATTTTGATCAGTTCGACATGTTTTGCGCTGGCTCTCGACTAACAAACACAACCCTTCACTTTTTACATCCGGGCTTGAGACCGGTAATGACATTGTTTTCAAATTTACATTTATATCACCAAAATCTTTCATATCATGTCAAAAACATCTATCATTTAACTTTTAAAAAGTGAAATACATATTTCCATGCATATGTAAGGTGGGCATATATGTAAAAAATGCCACTTTTTTAACTTCTAAATATAAAATCTAGGTGTTATGATAGATTTGGTAGTATGAATATTGAATGTAAATTTTTGGTGTTAGATATTTTAATACATATGAATTGGGAGGTATGTATGTAAATGCCCCTAATTTTTTCTGTTATAATAACATGAATTTGCCCTTTCCTCAGTCCTTTTTTATAAATTCTACCCTCATTTACTCATGACTTCATTGCCTTCTGTTTACAGTATGTGATCCGAAGAGTCTTCTCTACGTATACGGCATGCAATTAGATTTCAGTGATGCGTTAATCGGAGGCGGATTCTCATTCAAAAATCCCAACGCCACAAAAACTTGCGGCTGTGGGAAATCTTTTGCTGCTGGTGCTGCTGCTGCTGAAAACACACAACTGACAGAAACTCTTAACCATTGTGGTTTGTAAAGAAACATTGTGGTGAAAGATTAAGGGTTTAGTTATGGTTTATATCCAGCTATTGCATTGCATGCATGTGGGAGATTGATTGATGTAACAAAAGTGTGGAATCCGTTTGGAAGCTTGTTTTAATGAATGCTTATAGTAAATACTGTTTGGCTGCTAAGATCAGCCATCTCTGCTGCATTTCCCCAACCCACTCCCAATGGGCAATGTAGATTGGTTTGGAGTGACAAATGATAGATAAAAAGATATGGTTGGGGTGGTTTGTAATATTTTAAAATGGTGGTTTTAAAATTGTGGTAGAGAATAATTTTTTATAAAGTTATGGTTAAAATTATATATATATATATATAAAGAAATGGCTAGAGGTTATGATATGAGCCAAGACCACCCCTCATATGTTTAATAATTCGAGTATCATACCTTACATTCGAGGGGAATCAAATCTCAGACAAGAGAGACTTACAATTGACAAGCAGATGCCCAATCAATTGAATCTGAGTATGAGGCGCACACACGTGTGCTAAAATGATTTTTTTTTTTAATTTTTATGTCACCTCCACCGAACGTACCTCTATATCTTGAGTCCGGACGTCCACATGATTAAATTTAAATTTATTTTTTTCATAATAATCACTTTATTATTCTTTGGATGGTGTACACTAAATTAAATTTAAATTTTAAAAGTTTTAAAAAAAATGCTAAATAGAATTTTAAATAAAAAAAATGAAATTGAAATTTAAAGTATGCCTTAAAACTTAAATTCTTATTACAATTTTATATTTATCTTTTATTTTAAAATCTATAACTTAGTTGCTTATGATTTGTACATATTAAAAGGTGTCATTATTTTGAATTGATCAGGTGAAACTTGCTATTTATAAATTTGGCCATCTCTTTCATCCATTTTTCAAATCTTCTCTCGAATATTAAAATTCGTGATAAAATTTCAACCCATATTTTTCATTTTCATCAAATTCTCAGTAGTTTAAATATGGAGCGAATAAATACATCGGCTCAATAGTTCAAACAAATCATCCGAGTCATTAATTTATAAATATCAATATTTTGAATGATCTGTATGTAATTATCCCTATTTTGAAAGGTGTCTCTTTTAATTTTGTTATTTAAGACCAACCTATTAAACATAAAAATGAGGTTTAATTGCGTTGATTACTAAGCAATTAAGTATTTTAACCAATACAAATGAGTAGCTTGTGTTTCAA